CCATCGCAACTGCAACTACTCTATAGAGAAGAGAAACTTGGCTCACCTAACGGAAGAGGAAAAGGATCAAGGAGCAAACTCAGGGTTAGTCCCTGCTTGTGAGCAAAGATGGGCTAACACTTCCCTTTTGCTGTTACTGTCAATTAACCTGACTTTGCACTTCTTTGCTCACTTTCTGCCTTTCCCTACAGTGCAAAGGTAACTAGACAGCCTCAAAACTATGCATTCTAATCCTAGTGACTGTATCTTTTTTTTCTGGGTGACTAAAGAACCAGCCTGCCTCCACCTTAGACTTAAAAGCAACCTTACAGTAAAGGCAAACTGAGTTCACTCCTGTTTCTCAAGGATTGGGGCTATGCCCCACCTGTAACCTTAACTACAAATGGTTCTGTACTGCCTGTTCCAGGAATTGCAATAGTGTCTTTGTTTCAAAAAGTTGTTTATGATCATTGCAGGATGGTCATAAACATTGTTGCAAGAGGTTATATGACCACTCATGGCTACCTTCTTATGACTACCTTGTTATGTCCATCTTTCAACCACATCTTTGTTTTAGGAGTCCCTGTAGGACTAATTTAAGCTTATATTCTGCTCCTGTAACCCTGCCTTATTTCGTCACCAAATCCCGAATTTGGAAACCCCCTATCCCTGAGCTATAAGAGCCTTGTCTTCCTTATCTCATATCTAGTGCTGACTTCTTGAACTCTGTCTGAAGGAGAGGCAGCCTGTGAACCCAAATAAAGGAAAGTTTGCTTTAATTAATTGCTTGCTTTTATTTGGCCATTATCATTCAAGTTGGTGGTCTTTCTCCTCCCATCTTTGGGATTAGCAGTGACCTTCACCCCCACTGAAAATATAGGGGCATGATCAATTATCTCTATTCTTCCTTGTAAATATAAAGAATCCATTATCCCAAGGTCCATGTTAAGGTCACTGGCCCAAAAGCTATGAATGACTGAAAGAGCTTAAACAGAAAGAGCTAAAATAAAACAATAAATATAATCAGATAAAAGGTCTTGCTGCCTCTACCACATCCATTTTCTGGTGGTTGGCCTGGAAGCAATGGTCAAGAATAGACCTGGTAAGTATTGCCAAGGAAGAGTCCTGGAAAGAGCTGTGTCTGCAAGCATGGATTGACAAAAAGACCCCAGTGAGGTGGAGCTGTGGGAACACTGGGGGTGGAGATGCTAATTCCCTTACCTCTGGTTAACTTTAGTCTCCCTTGGATAGGAATTAACATCCTCTAATAGATTTAAAAAACAAAAACAAACAACCTATTTTGAACTATTAACTTAGCAAACTGCTAGCTCCCACCAACCCAAAAGCTAAACATGTCATCAGACAGCACCTGAAGCCTGTAGGAGAAATTTTCCTATCCTGATGTAACCCACTTCTGGTGTTTCAATTGATCTATCAACAAAGTGTCTTGATTTATGGATTTATTTTCTTTTGTTAATATAAAAACTTCATGAAACTGCTTCCACATTGGAATGCTAAATCTGGGGTCAACTGAAATCTGTGTTCACACAACATGGCCATTCAAATCTGGCTCTGGAATAAACCATCTCTTAACTACCTATAAGGTAGGAGCTGTGTTTTGGGGGTCCACATTATACATTTTCAAAACATTCCAGGACACTGAACCATCTAAAGGGTGAAGTCCTTTCCCAAGACCTCTGTTGCAGGCATTTCATTTCTCTTAAACAGCAACTGCATAACACCAGGCCACCAGAAGAAATGGCAGAAAGGTCAGATGAATGCTAATGCCAATTATACAAATAATTTTTTATGTATGTCACAACTATTGTCCGGAATTTCTTAAAGAAAGAAGATTTCTAGTAAACAACTGTGTCCTTGAAAATATGCTAGGAAAACTGAAATTTTCTCCAAAGAAAACTTTAAAGGCCCTTAAAGCAAGTCCTGAATTAACATATCAAAATAACAAGCTAGTGAAATGGAAATTCTGCACAAGAAACCTGGGTACCTGCTTCAGAGGCTATCAACAGGGGTCCTAGAAGCTGCAAAGTCTGTGTCCTCAAAGAGACTGCTATCCTCATAAAGACAAGGAACAGGAAATGTTCTTTCTGAATTCCAGTACGTCAACAAGGTTGTTATTGCTGATGACATCATATTAGCAAAAAAAAAAAAAAATCTCTGCAATGTCCCTTCTAAGAATGAAAATGGATTTGAAATTGAGAGCTCCACTTATAAACCTTATGTAGTTGTCTAGCATAAAACTCAATGCAGAATCTTCCTTAAAGTGACATTTAATGAAAACCACAAAAGAACTTCATTTGGCCTGAATTCTTGAACTCTAAGTGAAAAGGTCATGGTCCCCTCAGAGCACAAACAAAGCAATGACCACACCTACTGCCTAGTAAGTAAAAAATATTTTTAAAAAAATATGATGATTAATAAATAAGGAGAGGGCTGAGGAGGTGGCTTGGTTGTTAAATGCACCTGCTGTTCAATCCTCAGATCCAGAGTTCAGGTCCCAGTTATGCCTGTAACTCCAGCACCAGGGGATCCTACACTCTGAAATGGCCTCTGGAAACTCACAGGCACGGACACCCACACAGATACATGCATATACATAAATAAAACTAAAATCTTAAATAATAGTAGGCACCCACACAGATACACATATACATAAATAAAAATAAATCTCAAATAACGGTAATAATAAATAAAATGCTTTGGATTCTCTCCCTTTTGTTTCTCATGCAATTCAATTTTAAGCAAAAGGGAATTTGGAAGAGTTAAAAACAGGAAAACAAGAGAATCTGTCAGCATCTTTATATGTGAGAATCCAAAACTATAATCTGCTGCTTGTTGAGTGCCACAGAGCAGGCTTCTAGTCCCAGCTCCTGAGGAGGCTGAGGTGGGATGAACCCACTTAAAGCCTGGCTGGGCAATACAGGAAGTCTCTCAGCTCAGTCAAGCAATATTGCAAAGTCCTCTCTCATGTTCAAAAGAAATGTGGGAGCTGGCCTGGAACAGGAGACATTTCTACACCATGGCTGAGTGTTTTTAACTTTTGACTTTAAAATCAAACCAAAGGTGACTTCTGAATGAGGGAGTGTAAAGAGAAAGGAAGGAAGGCAGTTTCTCAAGGCACGCCTGCCTCCCAAAGCTGCTCCTTATAGGAAGTTTCTTAAACTGTGGGCCTCCACCCTCAATGTGAGGGTTACTATGAGCTTGACAGGAGGGGAAAGTCGCACAGTGGTCAGAAATGACTTCTATTTTCTACACAGAAAAATGGCGTTTCTGACTATCCCACTCACCGTTACATCACCAGTATTGGGCCTTGTGATGTCACTAGAGACTTATTCTGAATACATGGCATATTCATTTGACACTACACAAACAGATACCACCCGATATACCTCAGCTCAAATTTGAGACTACCGTATGTAACTGTAGTGTGTTCACTGTACATATAAAGTTTTATTGCTCTTTCAAAAATATAATAGTTTTATCACAAAAAGCAACTGCTAAAATTTTCCTATAGTCATTACAAAGCACGTCTTAGTATACTGTTGTACTGGGCTATGATAGAATGTTTGATTTTAAAAACCTGTTGTCTGGCTGGGAATTGGTGGTGCCTTTATGCCCAGCATTCCTATTCCAGAGGCAGAAGCAGGTGGATCTCTGTGAGTTCAAGGGTCAGCCTGGTCTACAGAGTGAGTTATAGGACAGCCAGGGCTAAGCAGAGAATCCCTGTCTCAGAAAGAAAATAAATAAATAAATAAAAATAAAAATAAAAAACAAAGAAAACCTGTGTCCTGGTTGAATTTCATTTTAAACAGTTAGGATTTTGGCATGGCATTAGAAGAGTCTAACAATTCTTAAAGTAGCCTTGAACTTATTTTGTTGTTTTGTACTAAGTGTTTATATAGTGTTCTTCACATAGACTAAAAACTCAACTTATCAATCAAATTTGAAAAACACTATCTGAAGATGCTCAGTGTTCTATCATGTCACATCAGCCAAGGCTTAACATTTTGTATAAAAATAAACTAGCACATTTCTCTCATTCCTATGTGAATTCACTCACCTTAAATAAGTGGTAAATTACCTGCAGTGCATGTTTGCTATGTTCATGGACTTATGTACCTGTTTACACAGAGTCACATAACCAAACTCTAACATAAAAAAAAAAATACACAAAAAAATCCCACAAAAAACTGTGTCTCTCTAAATCTATGAGGATCCCCAAATCTTCCATAACCTTGGAGCATTATATTTGAAATCACTAAGGAAATACACAAACATTAAACCCGGAAGCAAAGGTCTTAATTGGCCTCAGGGTAAAACTTATGACAACCACCCAGCATTTGGCCTCTTTTATTCTTATCTACTAAAAACAAAGGAAAGGTGAACATGAGTCATTGTTTTAGTATCTGACTTCCCAGTGCACTACCAAAAGGGATGTTTTCAAAACTCAGAAACAGTCATGTTAAAAAAAAAAAAAAAAAAAAAAAAAAA